ATACGATTTCTAAGTTGTTCATAGGAATAAGAATTTTAACGACACAGAATATACTATATATTATTATAATACATAATTATATGCATATGATACCCGAGGCGAAAAGCAGAGGGGTTAAGTTATTTAATCTAATATTAAACTAGATTAGCGTAAGAGTAACTTGTCAAAATAAATATGTTAAATTTTTCTATAATTTATTTAAATATAATTCAGATGCAAATAGTTATTTTCTTTACGATAAAATCGTAGTAGCTTATCGCAGAACACTATGTATATATTAGAAATTCATCACGTCGGCCCCATGGCATCCATTTTAATGACGTCACCCCTGTTCGCGACGCAACCCTTAAGAGTAAGGGTTTGTATCCTTTTGTTTACGGAAAACTTCGAAATTTTCGGTATTGAAAATCGATTATCCGTCTTCTTTTGCTAGTCGTATTGTTGAAGATGTCGAATGCAAATCTAATAGCATCCTATTGGCGTCAGTAGTTCAGTGATCTTGGTAATATGTACCTCCACATAATCTTTAGGACTTACATACATTTTCTATTTAATCTAACAGTAAAGATCGTTCTTTTGAATATTTATTCAGTGAACAAGATTTGGGCAGTTTTTTTCGGAAATTATAATATGACATCTTGTAACACTCACTAAGACAATTCATAAGATTTGTGGGTAAAATTGTGCCCATACTTTCTCACACTGTCGGTTTGAAGGGTGGGGCAGCCGTTGTAACTATACTTGAGACCTTAGAACTTGTATCTCAAGGTGGGTGGCGCATTTACGTTGTGGATGTCTATGGGCTCCAGTAACCACTTAACACCAGGTGGGCTGTGAGCTCGTCCAACCATCTAAGCAATAAAAAATAAATAAAAAAATTTCGGCACAAACTCTACATTAAGGATACTTACTACGAGTATACAAGTAATGATAATTCAAGAGCTAACATCTCAATAACCAACTGTAAAACACGTATATATGAAATTCTAAGAAAGTTCTAGAAAATACAAATAAAAGGACGACTCTTCAAAATTAACTTTGAACTAAAACAGAAGAGAACTTTAAAAGCACTCGTGTTCCGTGAATCGGAACAATCGAATAATTTGTAAATCGATACATCGATTGACGGANCAAGTAATGATAATTCAAGAGCTAACATCTCAATAACCAACTGTAAAACACGTATATATGAAATTCTAAGAAAGTTCTAGAAAATACAAATAAAAGGACGACTCTTCAAAATTAACTTTGAACTAAAACAGAAGAGAACTTTAAAAGCACTCGTGTTCCGTGAATCGGAACAATCGAATAATTTGTAAATCGATACATCGATTGACGGACAATCATTCGATTAGAGCACCCTAGTTGTCCCGCAAGCTCAATTGATTGTTTTAGCTTCATTATTGGACTGGGAAGCTTGCATTTTTTTTATAGCTTAGATGGGTGGACGAGCTTACGGCCCACCTGGTGTTGAGTGGTAACCAGAGCCAATAGACATCTACAACGTAAATGCCGTCACCCACCTTGAGAGATGATTTCTAAAGGCTCACTTTTAACAGTACCACGGCTGCCACGCCTTTCAAACCGAAACGCATTACTGCTTCACGGCAGACATAGGCAGAGTGGTGGTACCTACCCGTGCGGAACCATTAGACGTCCTACCACCAGTAAACATTACCAAGCTCAATTCTACTGTCAAAATCTTCCAAATCAACTGATATTGTGAAAGAAAGAAGATATTGAAGATACTCAACTACAAGTTGACAAAAAATAACAATAAAAGTCTATTAAACCGTACAAATAAAAGGGAAACTTCAGAGCCACGAGTCATTTGAAACTAGTTTCAAATTGGTTCGCAATCTTGTAACTGTCAATTACTTACACGTTCAACGCCGATTATAACTAAAGACAACTCGTTCATCTCATAAATTACCGTTTCCTCAAAACTTGCGTCCGGTGTGCGAGCGCATTGAATAAAAATAAAAACAAAAAAAAACTTAATTACGGGCAATTAATTTATTTTTCCTCTGAATTCGCTCTCAATAAGCGCTTGCGAGAAAGCGGTCCTCGCGCTGACAATATAATGAGATACATTGAGAAATTCTGACAGTTTAAAAATGAACAATTGCACAAATAATGCTCCACTTTTTTGCAATTAACAAAACAAGTGCACGGCTTTTCCCCCTATGCGCTTTAATTTGGTTTTCTCGGATCCGGCGATCGACTTTCCCTTCGGTAACTTTATGGTGCGAACGTCAGAGGAATGTCAAAATATCCGATCACTTAATTATGACTTGAACTGGTTTAGTTCGCACCAGACCTGTTGGTTTTTGATAATTGAACTCACAAGACGCGTGTTTTACACAGAAGTCCGTCGGGAGATCGGTTTTTATAATTTATTACGATAATAAATATTAAGTTGAATACTTTTTATACGTTAGTAAAATTGATTATGTGTGATTAATCAATTGATTCTGCGCTGGACTATCAGTGAAGTCATTGAGAATACAACTATATTCGTGTCAATTTCTACCAGCAACATAAAATGGTTTTCCATTTAAAAAATCTAATAAATTCAATTCAATCTGCTTCTTTAGCATCATTGTTTTAAAAGCTATCTAGATTTTTGTACATTGTCCTTAGTACATAAATATTTTATCTAAAACATCATTTGATTCGATTCACATGTGAGTTCATGAACTTTGCACTTAATAACTACATACATATGTACCAAATTCATGTAAGCACATAATATACACGATAAAAAGTTGTATGAACAGGTGCTATATTTAAAATTCCGAGTTTCAATAAATTTTGAATGTAGTGCGCGATTGCAGTCTCCCGTATCGAGTTGTGGAATTGAAAGACGCCTGTCTCATATCAATAATTCAGTTCCGTACTCTGATGGACTTGTTTGCGGTTCCGATCTAAACCCTTACTATGGTGACGATTATTGTTCATTTAAAAATTAGACGAATAAAGAAATAAATCTTTTAAAAATAGTAATAATCATTTTTATTATTGTTTAAGTGAGTGATCGAACTCACGGCTCCTTTTGTTAAATAGTCACTGAAGCCCATAGGCATCAACAACGTAAATGCCGCCACCCATCAAGGTCGGTGCGTCTCAAGAGACATGACTTTTAGGTCTCAGTTGTACAGTACAACGGCTGCCCCACCCTTCAAACCGAAACGCATTATTTCCTCACGGCAGAAATAGGCAGGGCACCCACCCGTGCGGACTCACAAGACGACCTATCCCCAATAAAAAGTAATAACTTATTCAATAGAAGCCAAAATTCCTTAAAAGTCATTGAAATAAAAGATTTAGTTGAATGTTAAAAAAATATACCTAGATCCTTTTTCATTCACGCTAATTACTGATTTGTGTTGCTCAAAATACGAGATAAATTTGTTTTTAACAATCAACAAATCACGTAGGTATCTGGTACAAACCCGAATTCGTAAACGAATTTTCATTATTGAGTTAAACAATTACTTCTACTTTCGTTCGAGTTGTAATTTTGATATCGAGTACAACAAGTAATCGCACTGCGGAACTACAACATTCTCTTACGATGTCCGTACCATGTGTCGTAGTGTCTGGCTGATTGTGTGATTTATTTTACAATTTTTTTTTTTATTTTTTTTTTATTGCTCTTGTAGGCAAACGAGCATACGGCCCACCTGATGGTGAGTGGTTACCGTCGCCCGTGGACTTCAGCAATGCCAGGGGCAGAGCCAAGCCGCTGCCTAAATTACCTACATAATTCGTCCATCATTTTATATCAATGTACGTGCGAAATCCTCGTAAATGTGCGGAATTAGTTGCGATATACGATTGTTAGTCTAATTTAAAATGCGTTCATTGCCTTTGAATGTGACTCAAAGATTCGATTATATTGTAATAAGAATTCCGAGCTATAGAACTAAAACGCATTACTGCTTTACAAATAGACCAGTACTGTACTAGTACATCACCATACAATTAAACTTTTAAACTGGAAGCTGATTTGTGAGAAACTTCAGTAAGAGATTAATTTGGTTGTGTCTTGGAATAGGATCACTCCATCTTTCGCAGTGGATGTCGCTAAAGGCGACTTAGGAATTCATCGGAGACTAGTCAGCAGTTTTATTTTTTCATATCAGCGTACTGCAATCGGAAGTTACTGACAATTAGAAGCATATGTGCGTAGATACCACTATGTTGTTCAGTTCTGTACTAAAATCGAGATTTCATGGCTCAAGGTTGCATTTACGTTGTGCTGTGAATTGGCTCCGATAACAAGCTTACACCAGGTGGACCTGTTCACATATCTAAGTCATATTTAAAAAAAAAACAGTAGATAATATACAGATTTTCCTCACTTTTCACGGGTCGTATTCGTCGAGTCGTATATCGTCTTAGTCTCGCGTATTTTTAATTTTGTACTCTATTCATATTTATTATTTTCAACATTACCACGAAAACTGTATAAGAAATTTTTCTGATTTCTGAAAATTTTGATAACAAAAAAAAATCGCGTTATTAAGCCGTAAACAGGAATTTTAAATATCTAGTACGTAATTTTTTAAGATCTACAAATCATTTCGTACCTATGAGTATTCCGAGTGAAATTGAACTTCGATAAATTCGAATTGCAAAAACAGAATGGCTCCACTTAAGAAGAACTCGCTCGTCCGAATTAGATTATTAATAAATAAATAAATGTCGTGTTTACGATCTTTAATTTTACAGCTAGACTTTTGGAAGGATCATCAAAGATTCGTAGCGCGATTATAAAAAAAAAATTATTATAACATAAAAAACATCACTATAGTTAACCTCTAGCTTTATGAACTTCGAAAAAAAATATGCGTGGGCGACTTTTGTAGATAAAACAATAAAAATGTAACGTCATAACTTTAACAGGTCTTTGAATAGAGTAATATTAACATTTCTTCAAATGCAAAATGAAAATTTTGAAATGAAAAACCTATAAACACCGTTTTTGTTCACAGCGAGCGACGAGGAGTTCTAGACGCGGCGGCGATCCAAGCCCTTGCCGGAGAGAGTGTACTGGAGAAGGAGAGGCAGGTCTCCGAGCTGATATTGCAGCTGCAGATGGTTAGAGAACAGCTGCTAGCCCAACAGGAACACGCCAAGGTAAGATCCTAATTCTTCTAGCACCATGCTTCCTCATTAGTGTCTATTATGGTCTATTGACTATAGGAACCCTCGGACACAGCCCACTGAGTTTCTCGCCGGATCTTCTCAGTGGGTAGCGTTTACGATCCGGTGGTAGATTCTGAGAAGCACGGCTCTTGCTAGGGGTTCGTGTTAGCAACGTCGTCAGGTTTGAGCCTCGTGAGCTCACCTACTAGTTAAGGTTGCGCTGAAATAGCCTCTCGAGGCTCTCAGCTTAGGTAAGAGAAAAAAAAGGCTATAGTAGTTTCATTGCAATGAAAACTTTTCAATTCATAACTCGTTCATTGCAAATCCAGTCGGCAAGTACGTGGAACATTTGTTATTATTTAAGAATAGGCTGTGTATGAAGTATTCCAAGTTATAAATGATGTCTCAGGAGTGAAATCCTTAAACGAATGGTAAGCAATATAGGCATCACACCACAGGGACCACGTATGATTGGCCAAGTGCCCCAGATGCTAGAAAATGGAATGGTACAATCTTGTTAATGAGCTTATCGATGCCAACTGGTGGTATTGCGTCTTGGGAGTCCGCATGGGTGGGTACCACCATCCCCCCTATTTCTTGCGTGATGCAATAATACGTTCTGATTTGAAAAGACAGCTGTTGTACTAAATACCTTAGAACTCATTTGTCAAAATGGCGGCATTAAAGTTGCTGACGTCTATGGACTCTGGTAAGCAAAAAAAACCTAACCAAACATGATTGCTGAATGTATCACATGTCTTAATTGAAACAAAAATATGTTGTAACCTAATTGCGTTGTTGCCAAATGAATGTATAGAGGCCATGATTGAAGATTAGCACGGCGACATGTTACAGTAGAGAAAATTGTCAGTAAGAAAATAACTAAAAAAATTAGAACTTTCTTCGGATTTCGCGAGTTGCGAGTGACCACGAAAACTGTAAAGCATACGTAACAACGGAAATAATATAATAACAATAATAAATCCGCGATAAAACCGTAAATACAGTTGGATTATTAAAAAAAAAACAAAAGTCAATAATAATTTGTTAACTCTCATTTATTTTAACACAAATACTAATAAAAAAATTATTTACTAAATAATTAATTAGAAACATTTATCTTATACTACACTCTAATATTTATTTACACTGCCGACTATGACTATACTATGTCTTTATATAATATTAATACATAAATTTGTGATAATACAATTAGAAGGAATTTAATTTATATAAATACAAAATGTATATAAAAAGAACAACACTAAATACCAATTCATTTTCAGTAATCTTTCATCTATAAAATCCATTCAGCGCATCGCAATAAAGCATTATATTTGTATAGATTCCAATTAGAATTGAGTGGCGTTACTGTTTGTGAACCTTTCATCCCTCCTCTGTTCAGGCTATTCGCATGCCAGATCACGAATTCAAAAGACACGGCCAAAGGTCCATTATTCTCAATACGTATTTTTTTCGTTTGGTCATTTATAAATTTACTAGTCGACCCGGCAGACTTCGTAGTGCCTCAATCGATAAATAAAAGAACTAAACTATTGTATAAAATAGACTTAAAACAAACAAAAGGAATACGTCCGACGGGGGACACATCAAAGGAAAAACAAAATTGTTATTTTTATTTAATTCCGAGCATTTTCATATTTATCTACCTTTTAAACCTTCTCGGGACTTCCGCAAATAATTAAAGACCAAAATTAGCCAAATCGGTCTAGCCGTTCTTGAGTTTTAGCGAGACTAACGAACAGCAATTCATTTTTAGGTATAAACCTATAGATTGAACTACATTTATCAATGTCATAAAGCCCACTGAGTTTCTCGCCGGATCTTCTCAGTGGGTCGCGTTTCCGATCCGGTGGTAGATTCTGCGAAGCACTGCTCTTGCTAGGGCCAGTGTTAGCAACACACCCGGTTTGAGCCCCGTGAGCTCACCTACATGTCAAGAAGAAGCTGATATAGCCTCTCAAGGCTATTTCTAATACAAAGAAAAATTCTTCGAATAGGTTGAGGAAAAAATATAGTTGCCGGCACCAAGAATTTGATCATTGTCATTGAAGAATTTTCCTTTGTATTAGAAAACGATAAATATCACGTTTTGACATATTCGGTAAAGATATTGTAATTATTATGATTTTTTCTACCTAAGCTGATAGCCTTGAGAGGCTATATCAGCTTCTTTTTGACGTGTAGGTGAGCTCACGGGGTCAAACCGGGTGTGTTACGTTACTAGCACTGGTCCTAGCCAGAGCAGTGCTTTGCAGAATCTACCGCCGGATCCGAATCACGACCCACTGAGAAGATCCAGCGAGATACTCAGAGGGCTCGACAACTACGTATAACGTATACCTCATACATAACACACGTAGATACTTCAGTACCGTAATCTCAAATGTTTCGATATATCGCACACAAGTCATGTTCATATTACGTAACACACACACACACACAGCCACGCACACAAAATTTTCATTTTCATCGTTACCGTAGTTCACGTCAACATCCCATGACAACTGTCGAAACCTTGACTAGTTAATTATAATTATCATGTTTGTTGTGTCTTCCAGCTGAGAAGAGATCGTTTAGAGTTCGTTGTGTATTATATTAATATTATGTATTTTTGGATACCAGCGGGCAACGGTCACGCGTCACTTTAATGTCCTTAAAACATGTGATAGATATGCTGTATATATATATGCTTTATACTATATGCTTTATTAGATATGATTTTACTGGTGGTAGGACCTCTTGTGAGTCCGCACGGGTAGGTACCACCGCCCCGCCTATTTCTGCCGTGAAGCAGTAATGCGTTTCGGTTTGAAGGATGGGGCAGCCGTTGTAAGTATACTGAGACCTTAGACCTTACAACTTCTACCTCAGGGTGTGTGGCGCATTTGCGTTGTAGATGTCTATGGGTTCAGTAGCCGCTTGGCACCGGGTGGGCTGTGAGCTCGTCCACACATCTAGGCAATAAAAAAAAAATGCGCATGGTTTATTGAAGTTTTCTCAACGCCTCTTAAAGTGCATCAACGGGACTTCGACAAAAAACTTTGATGTCAACAACAGCTCTAGCGATTTAAATTTCGATCGCACGCAAATAGCACGAACAAACAGGCTACTCTACAAATAACGAATTTAGAAATCAGAGCAAAAAAAAAAAGAAGAAAAAACCATTAGTTTTCGCAATGTTTTGTTTTTTGGTAACGTAGTAAATTCGTATTTATTTTTTCATTAGTACTTTCTTAGCTTTTTGTTCCTATGTTGGTAGCCTTGAGAGGCTATTTCAGCTTCTCCTTGACGTGTAGGTGAGCTCACGGCGCTCAAACCGGAATGTTGCTAACACTGGCCCTAGCAAGAACAGTGCTTCGCAGAATCTACCACCGGATCAGAAACGCGACCCACTGAGAAGATCCGACGAGAAACTCAGCTGGCTGTTTCTATGGTTTAATTTACTCGTCGAGCCCTTCGTCGCAAGCGACGGGTTCGGCGAGGACGGTGACCGCTGCTTGAGGTCTTAGCTTTCATGAATCTTAGAAAGCAAACGTTTTTCTTACATCGTGTTTGTATTACCGGGCCATCTACCTTAGACACCCTTATTAGTATTTCTTTCGGTTTTAGCGAGTCTACAAATAAATAATTAAAACTATGTAGGTAGTTTTACGATTTCATTTCGCGTTTTTACAACATTTCCAAAACCATTAAAATAACCCAAAACGTGAGATATAATGACAAAAAAGAAGCCATATTAAACCTTAATTAAAATACATCAAACCCAATATTGTTCGAATCAATCCAAATTAAATAAGCAAGTACATATTGAATTGATAAATAAAGCCGGCGTCTGTCGATCGATTTTTAACCAACGGGGATAACATGACGAACGCTGAATTTTAAGATGCGATCATTCACCCTCTCGCCCTGTAAACAAATTAGGTTTGTTACGCCTTTTCTTGAAGGACGATTCTGTTTGAAGTTAACTTTACAAAGGTCTTCGTTGTACACTTGTTTTCCTTCTAGTTCGATTCTGTCTACCCTTTTCGAAGGGATCCGAGGTTCATATGTACCTACTTTGACCGTTGGCGTATTGTAAATTCGCTAAGTCGGACACCATTATCCAAGAGTGAAGCAAATGTTACACGCCACAAAAATAAACCAAGCATCTATTTCGTTTTTTTCCCTCTTTCTAAACGGACATAGAAATCCCTCTCAATTTTCAATTGAATCAGAAATCTATGCTTTCTTCACATAAAAGAGATATTTTTCAATAAACCCATAACACAATGGACGTTCTCTCATTTATCGTTGCGCGGCGGCGCCGTACTTCTACAAAGACACTCTCATACTAATGAATCAACGATAAAAACTCGAACAACACTCGATCACATACCCTCTGCACAGGGATGACTGATTTAAAAAAAAAAAAACCTATGACCCCATTGCAAAGAAAGAAAAAAAAAACAAGCGTCATCAATTTCGATATTGTTAGACCTACATTTCTGTGCGTTCGTTTACGTATTCTTAATTACGTGTCACAAAAATATTAATAATCGGCCCAACTCTATTTAGAACACAAACGTTATGTACATTAGTATTATAATTTAGTTTTCGTTTGAAAAGATTCGTTGATTATCGTTGTTTAGAAAACAGAAATAATACGAAGGTACATCCCTACGATTGTTGGCGCTATAGATTGAAGAGGCCTGCCGACTACAGCGCTGCAAATGGGAACGGCTAATGGCGGGCGGCGCGTTCGCAATCGCGTTTTTTTTTTTTTTCAAATAGCACGTCCCTTTGTCGACTACGTTCCCGGATGCGTTCCGAATAGCCTTCGATACTGGCTGTTTCGATTTCGATTTTCAAATTTTTTTTTCCTGTTTTTTTTTTATTTGCCTCCTTTTTGTGTTTCGAAAGGTTTGTTCGCTGTTCGGTGGTTCGATTGATCAATATAGGGATTCCACAGTAAACAGACGGTCCTT